GCCTAATGAATCATCAGGGAGGTGTAGAAATGACAAAATATAGTGGCCGAGCTGCCAGTGTAAGTGGAGGTAGCTTGATAATATTAAGGAATGGCATGTTAGGAAAGAATCAGGCATTTGCACATTCTACATTAGAGGCTCCAATCCTCACAAAACACACACACACACACACACACACACACACACACACGAATATTTTTGTCCTTGTTTAGCATTCTACTTGTTCCCTGTGTTATTTATTTCACAGTATCCTCAGTGGGTAGGCCAGTTATCTGACCTAACCCAGGCCGATGCTTGACTTGGAGAGTTCTTAAGGCTCGGTCCCAGGTGCAAAGATCAGGTGACAACCTGTAAGAAGAGACAGTTGAAGTGGAGCAGATGTGAAAGTCACCTGCATCTAGGAGGTCAAGAAGCTTTAACCACGTATTCATTCATTCCTCAACAAATATTTATTGAGGACACATATGTGCTTAGACACTACCCATAGAAGACTCTAGGAAGAACAGGTCTTGAGTTCTGCCCTCAAGGGGCTCAGAGCCTACTTGGGGAGCCAGACCCATGAAGACCATGACAATACCTGTGGGGAATGCAGCAGTAAGGAAAAGCTCAGGTACGATGCACCCTCAGAGTGGGGGTCCTCACCCAGCCTGGGGCAAGCAGGAAAGCAGGCAGCGATATTAGAGTTGAATGTTAAGGAAGGGTACTATGGACTGAATGTTTTTGTCCCCCAAAATTCATATGTGGAAACACTAATCTCCAATACAGTGGCATTTGGAGATGGGGCTTTGGGGAGGTAATTAGGTCATGAGGATAGAGCCCTCATGAATTAGATTAGTGTCCTGATAAGAGACAGAAGAGAGCTCGCTTCTTCTCTCTACTCTATGCCATGTGAGGAGACAATCGGAAGTCTGCCATCTTTGAACTAGGAGGAGCACCCTCACCAGAACCCAATGATGCTGTGACCGCAATCTTGGGCTTCCAACCCTCCAGAGCTGTGAGATGAGATATAAATTTCTGTTGTTTAAACTATTTAGTCTGTGGTAATCTGTGATAGTAGCCTGAACTGACTAACACAAAGGGTTAGAAATAATCTAGGCAAAGGGTATGCAGAAGAATCTCCAAGAAAGAGGAGAACAACCTCAGAAGAAAGACAAGTAGGATGTGCTCTGGAACCTCACTGTAATTTGACAAGGCCTGTATTAGTTTCCTATTGCTCCTATATCAAATCACCACAAATTTAGTGGCTTAACACAACAGAAATGTATTTTCTTACAGTTCCGGAGGCCAGAATTCTGAACTGAATCTTACAGCCATAAAATCAAGGTGTTGGCAGGGCTGATTCCTACTGGAGGCTCCAGGGGAGAGAATCCATTCCTTGCCTCTTGCAGCTTCTGGCAGCTGAGCAAAGTCCTTAGCCTGTGGCCTCATCACTTCAATCTCTGCCCCCGTGGTCAGATGGCCTTCTCTTCTATAGTCTAATCTCCTTCCCTTCCTCCGATAAAGATATTTGGGATTATATTTAGGGCCCAGCTATATAATCCAAGACAATCTTCCCATCTTAGATCCTTAACTTAATTACATCTGTGAAATGCCTTTTGGCATGTAAGGTAACACACATCACAGGTTCCAGGAATTAGGACTTGGATATCTTTGGGAGCCATGATTCCTTCCATCCCAAGGCTGAAGGATAAAGGACAAGGTGAGGAGTGGAGAGAGGTGAGGCAGGGTGAGCCAGGGTGCCATCATAGAGGACCATGTAAATTGGCTGCTGCTGGCTGCAGTGTAGAGAACTGATTAGAGTGGAGCAAGGGGGCGGGAAGAGAGACCAGTTAGAGTCTGCAGTGACATTAGTGTGGTGCAAAGAGTGTACAGACATGCAACACTTAGGATTCAAAACAAGCAGGACTTGATCTTTTACCAATAAAGAGGAAGTAATCTGGGCAGTTTTAAATGCATCCACCCTCTTCTATTTTTCAGTCTTGCTCAGGTTTGCAGCAGAAGGCTGCTTGTTTATGCCATTGGGTGACATCTACTCAGAGCCAAGGAAGTGATGGGGTAAGAATCCCAAACCCTGACCCCCAACTCTCAAAATTCATCTATTCCAGATAAAATATAAATAACTTCTTTGAAAATGAGGAACCACCAGCAAAGGATACTTAAGGCCAGCCATTTTCTGGACAGAGAATTATGGCCTTTAGCACACAATTGTTAATCACAAAGTTCATCTTGCAATGCCCATCCTCCCTCCCAACACTTTTCCCACCCTAGGAAGGGAAGGAGAAGCTGTCTTGGTTACAGACTTAAAAACAATCTATATATCTCAACACTTCGTTTTATTCATCTGGCCCTCTCCTGGGTACATCAGTCTCAACTGGGTTGAATCAATTTGATAATCTCTTCACTAATTGGTCAATTATCTTTGTTGCCACTGTGAAGCATGTTATGGAAGGTTAACTGCAGCTGGATGGCTTGGACCAGAAGGACAGGAAAGGCCACCCTCAGCACAATGACCTGGCAGGACCTGCACTATATAAGTAGGGGTCACGTGTCCAGCCATGGGAAGAGGAGGGATAACGAGGAGTGGGCAGGGCCCAATAGTATCAGACTTGACTGCACCATTTATCCTTCATCCACTGCAATTTAAAAACAAATGTCTCAGTAGTTTCGTATGTACATACTAACATTACCTTCCCAAACTCTTTTTTTCTTAATCAACTGTTTCCATTTTCAGTTTGCCAATTTTATCTCATAGCAGACACTCCATGGTTAGTGACAGTAATGAAGGCAATTAAGTTTCACCTAGCATGCCTACTTTGTTCAGTTGGTCCCTACTGTGTTCAGTAGTGGGTCCCTAGAATGTTTTGCTGAGAAAGATTTTTGAGGTGGTCTAGGCTTCAGTGAGAAAGAACTCAGTGGTTGATTAATAATGTCTGCCAGGGACTCAGCAAAAGAAGGTGGTAACTCATATGCCTTGTGATTGCCAGCACTAGTTTATAGTAATTATAATCAAACACCTTGTTATAACTATTCCAGTAGGCACTGTTTAAATTTCTATTGTAAAATCACCATTGTGGTTGAGTTCTGTTCAGGGCAGCTAGGTGCTATATATAAAGGGGTCCATGGGAAGGGAAGTAATGACTACTCCGTGACCAAGTGCTATACTAGTTATTTACATACACTACTTATAATCCTTACAACAGCCCTGCAATGTAGATATCTCTTGTATAAATGAGGAAACATGCTCAGGAAGTTAATTTATCCATGGGTATACAGCAGGAAACCGGCAGAGCCAGGATTACAATTCAAGTCTGTCTGCCTTAAAAGTGTGTGTCCTTTCCAGCACATCTTGCAACCTCTATTTTTTTATCATTAAAAATACAATATTCAGGATCTGGGGATAATGACACAAGCACTAGCAAGCTTATGGTGGACACTCAACTCAGTGAGCTCTGTGGGCAGCAGGGTGGTTGGTGGTGGCCTCATGTCTCTGGACATATGTGAGGTAACCCTTTTAGGACTGCTGTAGAAATGACTGAGCATTTTTTGGGAGGGAGGCTGAGACCTTGTTATTATATAAATGAGAACTTTAGTCAGTGTAAAATGGATACTGAAAGCAAAAGTGACTATAATTTGTAATCATAATTCCAGAAGGCCTAATCAAAGTAGTTAAGAAGCAAAGCAAAATGTAGGAACAGCTGAAGCAAACATTACAGAGTCAAACTCTAAAGACCACCTGAAAAACTGAGACCTGAAACCTATAAATGAGATGAAAAGGAATTACTGTTTCCTTTACTTCATTTACTGAATCCCTTTGGCTCCTAGTTTTTAGTAAGCAACAGTTTCTTCATCTGAAAACTGGATGATGATAAATGTCTTGTCTAGAAGAGAAACAAAAACTGCTGAAGACTACTGAAACAGAAAAGGGATAACTTGCAGGATTTGAAGCAGTCATATATTTGAGTGCTCAGTAAAGGCTTTCTTTCTTAATTTTTTTAAGAAAGAAAGGGTTGCAGGCTTGGATCCCAGGACTTTTCCAACAGGAGAAAAAGAAGTACCTGTGTTGCCCAAGAGTTTCCTTTTACCACAACAATCCAGAGGCAAAAGCTTCTATTATCATTCTCATGTGATAGAGGGGAAATTGAGGTGGGAGGCATAACTGACCTGACATTAAGTCTCAAAAAGAAATAGTGGCAGTTTGAGACTTTGATCTAAGACTCTTCTAGAGTTTAGACTGCTTCCACATTGCCACTTGCACAGATAGTTGTCAACAGCTGGCACACATTACTCTCCTCTGAGAAGCATTTAAAAAAATTTCTTCCTCAGGCCAAATAGCATATTAGATAAGAGCGGAGAGTCTTAGGAGCCAGATTCCCCGTTTGTAATCCTGCTTCTGCCACTCAGTAGCTGTGTGACGTTGGCCTGGTACTTAATTACTACTCTGTCTCAGTTTTTCTGTTTGTAAAATGAGAATAACACCTCTTTGTAGGGTTATTCTATGGACTAAATGAGTTAATAGGAGTGAGCCACTTAGAACAAGATCTGCTATATGGTAATTGCCATTTAAAATCCTGTTAAATACACCAGAGCAAACACTTTAAAAGCATTTTTAAATAAATCAGTAAACCAGAATCTGGATATCAGTCTTTTATAATCACTCCTCCACAGAACTCTACTGTGCAGATTGGATTTTCAGGCTGCATCGCCTCTTTGGGATCCCGCCTTCCGAGAAGTTGACATTAACCAATGAGTGAAGGAACCTTTTTTTTTTCTTTTTGCCTCCAGGAAGACATAGACCTTAGAAAGTTGTTACTTGGACCCTGGGTGACCAATGGGCGAAAGAGCGCTGGGGCGGAGGAATGGTCCCCGTGCCCCTTGGGAGTTGTAGTTTTCCGCAGGTCCCCTAAGCGCTAAGCGGCTAATGGAGAACTACAATTCCCACAATGCCGCGAGCCGCCCGCGCTGCCCTCCGCCCACGCCCCTCTCTGGGCTCCCAGTACCGCCTCGCGGCGGCGGCGGCAGGGACACGATGGACGATGGCGGCGGTGGCCCTGCCGAGGCGCCCGGCTCCCGGGGCTCCCCCGGGCAGGCGCCACGGGTCCCGCGCGCGGTCGGGCAGGGTGGCGGCGGCGGCGGTGAGACCCCGCGGACGGCGGCGCTGGCGCTGCGCTTCGACAAGCCCATCAAGCAGGCCTTCTACAACACGGGGGCCGTGCTGTTCGTGTGCCTGTGCTGCGGCGCCGCCGTGCTAGTCTACTTCATCCTGGAGGCCTTCCTGCGGCCGCTGCTGTGGGCCGTGCTGTGCGGCACCTTCCTGCATCCTTTCAAGAGCTCGCTGACGCGCCTGGGCCGCCACTGGCTGCGGCGGCTGCACCGCGCGCACACGCCCATCTTGCTGGCCGCGCTGCTGCTGCCTCTCTGCTTCGTCGACTACGGCGTCGAGGCCCTGGGCGAGCAGGTGCTGCGCCGCCGCCGCCTGCTCCTGCTGCTCGGCGCCGGGGGCCCGCTCCTCTACGGCCTCTACTGCCTCGGCAGCTACCTGGGCGTGCAGGTGCTGCTGGCGTACGCCGGCGCGCTCATCTGCCGCGGGCTGGACTACTTCAGCAGCCTGTGGGTGAGTGAGCGGCGGCCCGGGCCCTCGTGGGCCTGGCGGGCACGCCCTACCCTTCCTAAACCTCCAGTGTGCCAGGGTGCAATACTGCAGCCCCTCCTTGCCGTGCCGGAGCGACCAAAGGGCCACACCTGTGCTGCAGTGAATGTCCGTCTCTGCCTTCCTTCCCACATCTGAGGGATTTGGTGCTAAGTCTTACAAAGAGTGTGATTTGAAACAGCCCTCGTTGCTTCCCGCCCCCATCCTAATAGGCCCTCTTAAGGGGTCAAGGCCCCCGATTAAGAATCACTATTCCACTTTGCAGGAAGAGCCCCAGAGCGTGGCAGGGGGGCTTGGTTTTACTCCTGGCTTGAGAGGGAGAGGGTGCTCCTGTCACCCTGTGTTCTGCACATTGGGATGTCCGCTGAAAGGGACCTTAGAGATTCTAGCCCAACTTGTATCCGTCCTACAGATAGTAGAGGTGACATCTTACCAGGCTAGGGCCAATGAGGGACAAAGAGGGCACTGGGTGACAAATTTCTCAAGTCCTAAAACAAAGCTTTCTTCACAGGCTGGTACTGCCTCTCAGGTGATTTCAGTATAGTTTGTGCAAGGCGCCGAGCCGCCTGCTCTTCCTCCCCTCCCTCTCCTTCTTGGGAACTACTTTTTTTGGGCAGGGACTGATGTTCCACGGCATGTCTCCTCCCCGCCTGGATGACAGCAGCCAGCTGGGCGAAGAGGTGGATTTGTGATGCCTGTATCACCCTGGGCTTACTGTTAGAAAATCAGGGAGCTTTAGAATTATAAGGGATTTCAAAGATAATCTAGTGACACAATTCCTAACTCAGACTATATTTTAGACCAGTCAATTATCTGCATATTTAACTGGGATTGTTAAAACAAGTGGATATTTAGTGCATAAGAATGCTAATTGAATAATAGTATCATTTAAAAATAATTTGATTCACCACTTTTGTTAGTGAAATAAAGTTCATTGTTTCAAGTTGCTACTTAAGTCCCCTTATCTCTGAAGCCGGAGATTATTGGTGCAGTGATGATTGATCCTGGAACTCCAGTTTTCTCTGGTTCTATCAGTACTACTGCTCGGTTCGAGTTAACAGTTGATGGAGGATGTGTTAGCTACTGGGCTTTGTGAGGGATTTAAAAAAGGAGTAAGATGCAGGCCCTCTCTTCACAGTGCATATAATTCTGTATGAGTATATTCTAATGGGGATGACAGACACACAGATAAATGTTCATTTTCCACCAGTTATGGGCCACATGCCCAGAGAATGTGATTGTCCCAAAGTCACACATCTCATGAACAAATCTGTTTATGGAGGCCCAGTTCAGTGCTCTTTGTCCTTTACCTTGTAGTTTCACAATTCAGTTAAATGAATCGAATGCCTTTTTTTTACAGAAGGCAGAGTGCTATGTGCTGTTAAGAAATACAAACTTGATCTTATCCTCAAGAAATTCAGTCTTGTCAGACGCATTTATAGATTCTGCTGACATTCTTTTTTTTTTTTTTTTTTTTGAGACAGAGTCTCGCTTTGTTGCCCAGGCTAGAGTGAGTGCCGTGGCGTCCTAGCTCACAGCAACCTCAAACTCCTGGGCTCGAGTGATCCTTCTGCCTCAGCCTCCCTGGTAGCTGGGACTACAGGCATGTGCCACCATGCCCGGCTAATTTTTTGTATATATATCAGTTGGCCAATTAATTTCTTTCTATTTATAGTAGAGACGGGGTCTCGCTCTTGCTCAGGCTGGTTTTGAACTCCTGACCTTGAGCAATCCGCCCGCCTCGGCCTCCCAAGAGCTAGGATTACAGGCGTGAGCCACAGCGCCTGGCCTACTGACATTCTTGACTGTTGATACCACCCAACTAGCATATCCTTCAAACTGTAGGAAATTAGAAAAGAAAGGCCTACCACCTATGAATATTTGAATATCTTTTTACCAAAGATAAACCCTCTTTGTGGTTTACTTGTATGGGTTGTGGATAAGGGGAAGAGAGGTAAGGCCAAGATTGATTCGACTGAGGGGAGAAAGGGCAAGCCAATTAATAAATTTAAAAAGGCTTGAAACTTAACTGTTTGGCTAAAGTGTTGGGAGCAATAGAGGAGAGAGGGTTAAAAAAAAACCTGTTATAAAAGAGACAATATAAAAGAGACAATACGGGTTATTTAGAAGTGAGTAGGGAGTGGTAGAAGGGCTAAATCTGAAAGACTAGAGCATCCAGGTGGATCTGAATTTGAGAGAAACGGCTTGGAGTTGCATTTTGCAGCACTTAGAACTGGGTCTGCTTTGTTGGTTGGGGGTGAGGTGTACCTGGGAAGTAGAGCTAGGAAGTCCTCTGTTCTCAGGCAAAAGTGCTGATTAAGGCCCGACATGAAGTGAAAGCAGGTCATATGACTGGGAAGGGGGCCCACTCTGTAACTTGTCATAGTTAACAGCAGTTTGGTTTTTTGAGCCCAAGCAAGGGTGCCTGTTATAGAACAGTGATCTTTATGCTTTCTAGACAACTTGTACATATGAGCCTGTGCTGAAGAGTGATATAGATGAGAGAGGCAGAGAGAAAAGTTACATTTAAGTCAATCCCACCACCAATTTTTTTTTTTTTTTTTTTTGAGACAGTCTCTCACTAGGCTGCCTGACCTGGAGTGCAGTGTTGTAATCATAGCTCACTGCAACCTTGAACTACTAGGCTCAGGCGATCCTCTTGCCTCAGCTTCCTGAGTTGCTGGGACTATAGGCACGTGCCACCATGCCCAGCTAGTTTTTTAATTTTTTGTAGAGACAGGGTCTCACTGTTGCCCAGGCTGGTCTCATATTTGTGATTTCAAGTGATCCTCCAGCCTCAGCCTCCCAAAGTGCCAATTCACATTTTGATGAACTGATAATTCATGCATTTAAGATCCTACTGTCGAGCATCTGCACTTAGCACTGGATTAGATTCTTTCATGGGTGTTGTTTTGGTCTCACAACAATCGCATGAGGTAGTTGGGTAGGATTTCTTATATGGGAAAACTAATTTAGAGATTAATTTGTTCATGGTGTTAGGAAATGGCATTCAGTAGACCTACTAGCAGGTGAAGTCCTGCTGTCATCAAAACTCTTCATAGTGGCTAACCTTCAATAAGAATTTTTAAAAGTTTTCCCCAATACATTGTGTTTAGTCTTTTTTTTTTTTTTAATATAAATTGATTCTAGTTACTAGGAAAAAACAGAAGAATATCAGGAGTAGACTAACCACAGATGTTCCCCCAAAGACCCCTGGAACCCAGTCATCTAGAAACTTTAGTCCTCTCTCTGCTTTCTTCTGTTTTATCCTTATATCTATGCAGTTTTCCCAGGTCCTGTCCAGTTTTCCTTTGTAGTATCCTCAGTACCTGTGTTTTTCTTTGTCACCAGTTTATCCTAGTTCAGTTCCTCCTCACCTCACTTTTGGATTACTTCATTGTCCTCCTAACACTCCATCCTGCTTATGAGTGAAATACTAATCATTTATGGTATGAGTAATTCTTTTCCAACATTTTTAAATATATTAGAATATTGCACTGACTTAGTGACTTCAGAACACTTAAAAATCATCTGTTGCACAAGCTCACATGTGACTCATGCCTTGGCATCTCCCTGTGGCGTAGAGTTGTGCAAGATAAATCTGAAAAGCTAATGGCCTGCCCTGCTCCACCAGCTTTCTCTACTGGGAGTGATCTGATCTTCCTGTCCCTGTTAGTTTAGAACTTGTTAAAAAAAATTTGAAGACCATTTACAATTTGTGCAGAGGATTTGTTTTCTCCTTGGTCTCTGATCCCATTGTTTTCATCTAATATTATAAAGAAGCATGAGGTGGAAAGAACAGTGGCTGACGAATCAAAAGACTTTAAGTTCTAAACTCACATCTTCTGGTAACTTCTTTTGTGACTTTGGACAGACCAGGGCGGAACTCTGGGCCACACAAACCAAGTTGTGTGAAGTGAGGGGTTGGCTTGGATAATTTCTAAGATTCCTCGATGTTCTGTTTCATAGGCTACATACAGGAGGCTTTTGGAAGTGCACATTAGTCAGCCATTCGCTGCTGACTCCATTCCACTTCTAAACTGATTTCTACTTTTGTTTCTGCTTGCCTGGCAACAGTGAAGAGGAAAGTTTCCAATCCTTATTTCTTTTTTAGTTAAAGACTTTGATTATAAAAGTTCTCGACTCTAAGTTGCCATATAATGAAGAGAACGGTTTTCAAATTAGAATTAAACTGTTTTAAAGGAGAATGAAGTACCTGAAACAGTTATTGAGTGGGGCCATGATTAGGGCTATGGCTCCATAACTTGAGAGGGAGTCTGTCGTTTTATTCTCTCTGAAGAAGGCTTAGAAAACTGTTTTGCAAAAATGTGTAGCAAAAGCAAGCCAAGTTGTTTTTTCAGTGAATGCCCAGATGACAATAAATAAAACAGTCTAAAATGTGGAGTCTTTACTTAACGTTTTATGCATTTAATATTATTTAACCAGAAAATTATATGTGGGTAATCATGTCAGATGAAAGGAAAATGTGATTGTCTGTTAGATCCCTTTACTTGCAGTGCTAAATAAATGTTGCCAAATTTTATGCAGTCTTATGTGGTGTCTAGCACATTGGTGCTTTAAAATAACTATGAAATATATATTTTGAAAAAGAATACATTGTTTTGAAGAATATAAATTTGGGAAAGTAGGTCTTCTCATCTATAACTGTGGCTCATTGATTTATGCCTGGAAGAAAACTCACACTTAAACAGGTTTGCTCAGTGGCCAAATATGTGTAAAATTGACTTTTTAATTTTAGGCTTCTGCATTAATGAAGGCTTAAGGATAAGAAACTCTTAAGGGGTCTTAGACTAGAAATTATGTATGAAGTGTGAATGTACAAATCCTTATTTTCACTAAGTTATTTTAAAGAATAGTGATTTTAAAAAGTTGACTCAAGTAAAATATGCTTGCTATATAAAAAAACAACTTAAGCGACACATTAGTTTATGTGGTAAAAGTGAATTGTCCATTTTTTCTGCCTTTATTCTCACTGTACAGATGTTACTATTGTTAACTATGTAGTCTTCTAAATTTATTACTGTGCCTGTGTGAACATATAAAGTATAGGATTTTTTAAATTTTGTTTTTTAAAACAAAGATGGGATAACATACATAATTCTGTAGTTTGTTCTCATTTATCGTTGTACTGTGGACATGTTGTTAGCACTTACAGAGCTTTCTTTTTAATACTGTTATATGCAAATTCTTTTTTTCCTGTAGATGCCTTTTAGAAAATATTTCTAACACATTTTCTTAGCTCTGTATTTGTATTAGAATACTCTGATAAACATTTTTGTTGTTGTTGTTGTTTTTTCTTTTGAGACAGAGTCTCACTTTGTTGCCCAGGCTAGAGTGAGTGCCGTGGCGTCAGCCTGACTCACAGCAACCTCAAATTTCTGGGCTCAACCAATCCTCCTGCCTCAGCCTCCTGAGTAGCTGGGACTACAGGCATGTGCCACCATGCCCGGCTAATTTTTTTTTATATATATTTTTAGTTGGTCAATTAATTTCTTTCTATTTTTGATAGAGACAGGGTCTTGCTCAGGATGGTTTCGAACTCCTGATCTGAAGCCATCTGCCCACCTTGGCCTCCCAGAGTGCTAGGATTACAGGCGTGAGACACCGCGCCCGGCCTGATAAACATTTTTAACCACTGGTAATTATATAATCATGATGGGTTTAATATAAACTCCAAATGGCCATACCTTTTGAACTTACTTATTACTTCATGAATCTTTTCTGAGAAAGCAGTTCAAAATAATGGAAAAAAAATCCATAAGCCGAAAGAAGCTTTTCTTGAAAGTTAAAAACATTTATTTTTCTATTTATAAGAATATTACATAACCTTAGGAGAAAATTCAGCAATTGTAAAAACTGTAAACAAATTATTCCTTAAATTGCAACCATCCAGAGATAATATTTTAAAGCCTTTTTTGATAAGACATGAGCCCAGTGAAAAGAAAAAAAAAACCTTTTTTGAGTACATTTTCACCATTATAAATTTACACATACATGAATTTATAGTGTTATTGAATATAGATATCATACCTGTGAAAGTCTGAATAATTATTCCATTTTTGAAGATACCTTTATTTAGCTAGTCCCCTATAAAATTACGTTTAGATTGTTTTCAGTCTTTTATATTGTAAACTGCAACAGTGAATATTTTTGTATCTGCACAGTGTGCTGTAAAACATTCCTAAAAGTGGAATTGGGAGTATATTTAAAAAGTGGTTAGTTTTAAACTGAAATGAGATAATCTGTGAGTTTCAGGTTTACTAGATGAAAATACATTCTTCTCTTTAGGCCATAAATTTTTCTTAAAAAATCTTAAGTATGCAGTTTCTCTCTCTCTGTAAGTGATACTAATTCCTTATAAGTACAGATAAGACTTCTTGGAGATTGGTTTAAAAAGAATTATAGACTTAAAATCTGAAGTCTAATCAGTTTATAGCTTACTAAGGGCAGACTTTCCTACTTTGTCATCTCTGGTTGATATTTTTAGTGATGATAGCTTGTTCGACATTTAGACAACTATAGTTTGCTACTGAACTGATATGTGTTGTTTCCTAATCCTCATGTATTAATTTTGCTCTCAGAACCACAGAATATTAAGTCTCATGCCTCTCCCTGTTGACATTTTTAATAACTATTCGAAGATAGCTATCAAATCTTGACATTTCTTTCTCTTTTCTAAGCTAAACTATTTCACCCCTGTTGCCTCCCAGCTATATCGATATCTCATTATGTTGTGATTTTCATTTCTTTTCCCAGACTGAATTTTGTTGTTCCTGTGGTTTGGTAGTGCAAAATTCATTGAAACAATCCCTTTCTCTGGTATGGATATTCTACTTTTATAAGTAAGGACTCATACCAACCATACTCTGACTCATACTGAAGTGGAAAGTAGCTTAGAAGTCCTCCTCCCATTCCATACTTTTGCTGTTTAGTTTTGAATGAACCTAAAAGAAGAACTTTGCATTTCTCTCCATTAAATTTAATCTTATTTGAATTAGTCCATTATGGTTTCAAGACTTTCTGAGTCATTATAGGTCATCTCAATTTTTATTGACTACTCAGTTTTATGCAGTCTAGATTAGCATGATTAGCATGCCTCTAGTTTTTCATCCAAGTGACTGATTTAATGTTTAATAGGGTGAGACTGGGCCAGGTGCAATGGCTTGGGCCTGTAATCCTAGCACTCTGGGAGGTTGAGGTGGGAGGGTCCCTTGAGTTCAGGAGTTCCAGACCAGCCTAAGCAAAAGCAAGATCCTGTCTCTACTAAAAATAAGAAAAATTAGCTGGGCGTGGTGGTGTGTGCTTGTAGACTTAAGCTATTTGGGAGGCTGAGGCTGGAGGATAGCTTGAGCCTAGGAGTTTGAGGTTGCTGTGAACTATGATGACACCACTGCACTCTAGCCTGGGCAACAGAGTAGAGACTCTGTCTCAACAAGAAAAAAAAGAAAAATAGGGTGAGGCTGATTGTTGCTGTGTGGCACACCACTGCAGACCATTTTTGATTTGAACAATTTGTAGTTGTCAAAATCAATTGTTTTTTATTTTCTTTTGTAAAAATTAGAGCGGCTTTTGCTTATCTTTATTTTTCTAGATCCATACTTTTTTCTCCTTATGGTTAAGAAAGTGCATTCTGGAGCCACATTCCTGGGTTCTAATCCTGGCTATGTCATTTATTAGCTGTGTGACTTCAGGCAATCACTTCCCTGAAGTCTCAGTTTCTTTCATCTGTAAAATACACATAATGATAGTATTTATTTTGTGGAATTATGAGGATTAAATGAATTTATATATATAAAGCATTGGAACAGGGCCTGGCACATAGTGTCATGTAAGTGTATTGTACTCAGATTTTGTTTGAGCTTTACAATCATAATTCAAATTCTCTGAATTCCCAGAGTTAATTTTTCTGAACCTGCAAGCCTGAACTTTTTTGAAGCAGCTGTAGTCTCACTTTCCATGTCCTCATGTATTTTTGGGCTTCAGAGCTCTTTAATATTTCATCTGATAAAGTTGCTTAAGACAAAAATTTTAATGTCCTTTTTGTTATAAAAGAATTAGTGTTCATTAAAGGCAATTTGGAAAGTACGGAAAAAAATAAAAGAACAAACAAAATCTTACCACCCAAATACAACTTCTTGGTACATTTTCTTTTCCCTCTACCATATGGTAGATGTAATTGCGTCATACATATTTTATGTATTTCACTTTTAACGTAATATGGTATTAGGAGTTTTTAAGCTATATAGGCTTTGTTTTTTAAGAAAATGATGTTAATGGTTGTATAACATGTTATTGTGTGAATCATCCATAGTTAATCATTTCCCAATTGTTGACCTTTTAGGTAATCACTTTTTCACTATTCTATTATAAATCTCACACTGATGAGCTTCTTTATATTTAAATTTTTTCAGAATTTATCTTTATTTAGTGAGGATAAAGTTTCTAAGCTGAATTCTCAGGTCAGAAGCTATAAACATTTTTAATACCTCAAAATTATTTTTATTGATAGATATGACCAAAATAATGTGAGATTTTTTTCTATTGTAGTAATCTTATCAGTTCTTTTTTCTTGATGCTCTGAATTATAGCTTGAAGTTCCTTTTTGTCTTAATTTGGTTTGGTTTTTTTTTTTGCAAGTTCACATCAAACTTGAATTTTATCTTCTTGGTCTTATTTTAAGTTATTTGTGCTCAATTTGTTCTGGATTATGTATTCCTTCCATTTTTTGTAAATATCGTATTAAAATACAAGTTTCTGTGTAGGATACGCTGGTTTCTTTTGATGTTTCTTAAGTTCTGAAGTCATTTAGCTTTAGTGTTAGGGAGATATGAGGAGGGGACCCTGACCTATTCTTCTGTTTCCAAGTCTTGCTGCTCCTCTAGTAATATGTTTTCAGGCACATTTCTTCAACTGGTGCATTATAGCTCTGGATTAGGTTCTAAACATCTGGATTATTTCAGCAGGGTCACACTTAGGCTGGCTGCCTTTATAGCTTTAAAAAAATTTCTTTCATAATAATAAGCATATTTTAAAGGCTGGAGTAAAATCTTTTAACCTGACTTGTTTGGGAAAGCTTTCTTGATTTGGCTTTTCATTTCTTTTCTAAACATTAATTGGGAGAGAGACCTTTAGGAATTCCAAAAGGTTATGCTCTTAATTTATTCTTATTAATTAATTAATTTCTTTTTTTTCTTGTAGCCCACTTGCCAAGTGAAGGCTCTTAATTTAAATCCATGGTTTATACATTGACTATCTTAAGTGTTTTTAAAATGGGTTTGTACTTTAGCATATCTTAAAACTATGTATTTTTTGTCAAATATTTACTATCACTGTATGTACTTCAAGTGCCTATTTATTTTAAAACTTAATTTATCTAAACAGGGAAGGAGAACCTCGTCGTGTTCCTTTTAGCACCACCAGCATTCATCTTATCTGTGCTATGTCCAGAGTGCTCCTGCTATATAGATGCTTGCAAATTTTGTATAATTGTATGTTCATTTTCATGTGTATATATTTTACAGCTATGTCTATATTTCATTTATTTAAGATCTGGACATTGGTAGTTGGCTATGTGTTGACTGTTTTATTCAAGTGGAATGCAAGCACTGAACGCTACTTGAGAGCAGTTTCAATTCCTGTCTGGATTATATTGCTTTTTCATTTAGGTGGGTTCTTTCTTTTTTTAAAAAAAGTCTAGTTTAAGATCAGCAGAGGCTAACTGTGTGAATGAAAGTGAATTTTTTGTAGTGTTATATGTTGCATTTAAAATTTTTAAAAATAATCTATAGAAAATGTCACGCTTTAATCTTTCATTAATCATTGGTGAAATGATATGCTTTAAAATTGTATCTTTTAATTATTAATACATGTTCATTTTCAAAAAGGTCCTTTAAAAGTTAATATATCTTAAAAAGTAGAGCACACTTGGACTCTTATAGTCATTTCCGAGTGTCATACTTAGGGAAAGTGTAGATAAGCAGTCAAGGATGATAAGAGGTGCTCAAAATCATGTGTGAGAACCAGTTAAAGGAACTAGGGAAGATGTTTACTTAGGATAAGAGGAGGGAACGGGCACGCTAGGGGTGGAGAGGAGGTGAAGGTAAAGAGGACATAAAATGTGAAAGCCTGTTTCTGATGTTTGAAGGGCTGTCCTGTGAAAGAGTGGTTTAAGCAGATCTCTGTAATCATGAGGGAGAGATGTCAGAGTGATGAGTAGCTTCAGAGAGACAAAGCTCTGCTCAATATAAGGATGATCCATGTCAGAGCTGCTTGGAGTAATGAGTTCCCTGTTATGTGAAAGCATTCACTGGTAGCTGGTTGGCTGCTAGCATGTTGCTGAGTGATTTTTCAGCATGGTACATGTGGTTAAGACTCTTTCAAGTCTGAGTCAATGGAAGCTTTAAGTTCTAATTTAAAAACAAAATCCAGCAACCCAGAGCAGTAGATAGCCTATTTAAAGTAGTTTTTAGAGCTACTTATTAAAAATAAAAAACTGTTATGCCCATGCTTAGAGTCTGATGTCAAAGCATCATTTTCTAGCTCTGTCTAGTTGGGATGCTGGATTTTATCTGCAAGATCCCCTGCTGGGTCATATGAATCATTTCAAATTTGGGGAAGGCAGAGGAGGGAGGCAGGCAGGTATGTCTGTGAGGCTCTAGATGGTCTCAGGGAAATGCGGGTGATTTTGTGTAAAGACCTGCTCCGTGGTGACTTGTTAACACTTGTACACTGTATACTGAGGAGGAGACAGTGAAGCTTTTGCTGTGCTCCTTTGGGCCATTCTGCCCTTTCTTGAGAGAGTTCACACCTGATGGTCTTTTCAGGAAATCAAGTCAGGCTTCATGACTTTAGGATCTATGCCCGATTCTGATTATTCTGGGGTCAAATAGTTGGTTTGAGTTTGGGATGGTCTTAAATCCTGGATATGAGCTAGAACGGCCTCCATTCCTCAGACGATATGAGCACTGTAAACGTAGGCTGCCACATACTGACCTGACCCATTTGAGCAAGGGTGAACTTACTTTGAGAAACCCTGAATGGAAGTTTAATCTGTCTCAGGCTTTTTAAAAAATTTTCCCTGTGAAATAATGGTGTAATTAACAGATATACCAGATTGTTCTGTCAGTCTACAAAACTCAGTCATCTAAAAACATGTACTAGGTTTTTATTTTGCTAAACATGTTAATTCTTAATTTGCAGCATCCCTGGCTGGCTCATGGAGAATTCCAGTATTCCTGGTTATTGTTTTTTTGATGTCGGTGGGCACCCTCTATGAAAAACAGAATGGAAAAGAATCTTCTGGTAAGAAACAGGACATTCTTTTTAATATTACTCTTTGAAATATTTTGGAGATTAGCTTTATAAAAGATGCTGTGTTGAAACAGCTTTGAATCTATTTTAAAACCTGTGGTGGTTTCTGAACAGAAAATAAGTTTGTTTAAAATATTTTAGGTTGTTAGACCATGCTCTGTTTTTTGTATTTTTTTTATTTTTTTTTTTATTTTTATTTATTTATTTATTTTTCTTTCTAGTTAAGGATCCATATGGATGTATTTTTTTTAAATTGAGGTATAATTCATACAACGTAAAATTAACCATTAACCATTTGAAAGTGACATCTGGTATTCTCACAGTGTTATGCAACCATCACCTCTGTTAAGTTGTAAGACATTTTCATCACCCCCAAAGGAAACCCTGTGTATGTATCAGCACTTCCTTTCTTTTTATGGCTGAATAATATTCCATTGTAAGAATATTCCACATTTTGTTTATCTGTTCATCAGTTGATGGATGTTTGGGTTGTTTCCACTTTTTGACTATTGTGAATAGTGCTGCTGTGAACATTTATGTACAAGTATTTGTTTAAATACCCGTTTTCAATTCTTTAGGATATTTACCTAGGAGTGGAATTACAGGGTGGATCATCTGGTAATTCTGCATTTAACTTTTTGAGGAACTGCCAGACTGTTTGCCACAGCAGCTATACCATTTTACATTTCCACCGCTAGCAACGTAGGAGGATTTTATTTTCCCTGTATCCTTGCCAACACCTATTATTTTCCATTTTTTGATAATGGCCAATCTAGTGGGTATGAAGTGATATCTTATGGTTTTTATTTGCATTTTCCTAGCAACTAATGCTGTGGAGCATCATTTCATGTGCTTATTGGCCATTTGTTTATTAAAAGGATTTGGCCGGGCGTGGTGGCTCACGCCTGTAATCCTAGCTCTCTGGGAGGCCGAGGCGGGCGGATTATTTGAGTTCAGGAGTTTGAAACCAACCTGAGCAAGAGCAAGACCCCGTCTCTACTATAAATAGAAAGAAATTAATTGGCCAACTAATTAATTAGCTGGGCATGGTGGTGCATGCCTGTAGTCCCAGCTACTCGGGAGGCTGAGGCAGCAGGATTGCTTGAGCCCAGGAGTTTGAGGTTGCTGTGAGCTAGGCTGACGCCACGGCACTCACTCTAGCCTGGGCAACAAAGTGAAAAAAAAAAAAAAAAAAAAAAGGATTTGTTCTGTATACTTTGGATTCAGTCAAAAGGCCATACTCAAGGATCCAGGTGGCCACATGTACCTTGAGGCTGCAGGTTCCCCTCCCCTTTGCATGTGGATGTCCAACTCCTGCAGCACCATTTGTTGAAGAGACTTTCCTTTTTCCATTGAATGGTCATGACACCCTTGTCAAAAATCAATTGACCATAGATGTATGGATTTATTTCTGGACTTTCTATTCTGCTGATCTATATGTATATCTTTATGCCATAGACCACATTTTTTTGATTATTGTAGTTTGTAGTTTTGAAATTGAGAAGTGTGAGTTTATCTAACTTTAATCTTTTCAAGATTGTTTTGGCTATTTGGGGGTCCCTTGCATTTCCACATGAATTTTACAATCAGCTTTTTTTTTGAGACAGAATCTTAACTCTGTCGCCTGGGCTAGAGTGCCGTGGCATCAGCCTCGTTCACAGTAATCTCAAACTCCTGGGCGCAAGCAATTCTTCTGGCTCAGGCATGCGCCACCATGCCCAGCTAATTTTTTCTATATATTTTTAGTTGTCCAATTAATTTCTTTCTATTTTTAGTAGAGACGGGGTCTCACTCTTGCTCAGGCTGGTTTTGAACTCCTGATCTTGAGCGATCTGCCTGCCTCAGCCTCCCAGAGTGCTAGGATTATAGGTGTGAGCCACCACGCCTGGACAGCTTTTTTATTTTTCCAAAAAAGGCTATTGGGATTTTGATAGGGATTCAATTGAGTCTGTAGATCACTTTGGGGAGTATTGCCATCTTTATAATATAACCCCCCAACCCAAAAGTTTTGTTTTCATGAGCATAGGATGCATTTCCATCTATTTACTTGCTCTTTAATTTCCTTCAGCAGTGTTTTGTACTTTTTAGTGTATAAGTCTTGTACCTCCCTGGTTTAATTTGTTCTTTATTCTTTTTAATGCTATTGTAAATGGTATTGTTTTGTTAATTTTCTTTTTGGGTGGTTTATTGCTAGCATATAGAAATATAACTAATATTTTTGTGTGTTGATCTTGTATCCTACTGGATTTGTTTATTAGCTTCAATAGTTTTTTGGTGGATTCATCAGAATTTGGTACATAAAAGGTCATGTCATCTGCAGTAGAGATAGTTTTATTTCTTTCTAATTTGGATGCCTATAGTTTATTTTTCTTGGCCTAATTGCTCTGGCTAAAACTTGCAGTACAGTGTTGAATATACCATGCACTTTTTTATTAAAGATGTTTGATATGTCCTGGCTGCAAGTGGTTTATATCGAGAAATAGTGTACTAAAAGTATAGGTTGAGGAGTTGTAAGTGGGGAGGATGTGAAGATATAGCAGTTTATCAGAATGGACCCTCCAGTTACCCAACCATGTGGAAGCAGCTGTTGCTAGAGAGATAAATCTGAACACACAGCTCCTGCAGTGCCCAGTGCTTTGCTCCTTGCTTCTTTCAGATGGCTGTACCTACACTAAAAGAAAAACTTAATTGTAGTAGGTTTTTACAAGAAAAAAGTTAGGCTGGGTGTGGTGGCTTATGCCCGTGATCCTAGTACTTTTGCAGGCTAAAGTGAGAGGATTGCTTGAGTTCGGGAGTTCAAGACCAGCTTGAGTAAGAATGAGACTCCTGTCTCTATAAAAAATAGAAAAAGTAGCTGTGTGTGGTGGTGCATGCCTGTAGTTCCAGCTACTTGGGAGGCTGAAGCAGGAGGATCACTTGAGCCCTGAAGGTTGCAGTGAGCTATGATGATGCCACAGCACTGTAGCTGGGGTGAGGGAACAAAGACTGTCTCTCTGAAAAAAAAAAAAAAAAACAGAAAAAAAATTTTTTTCTCAAATAATATCAGTTTGTTACAGTAAAGTTAGGAAATACAGAAGAAAAAAAGGAAGAAACTAAAAATCACTCAAAATTGCACATGCCCCACAGGTTATACCGAAATATTAATTAATGGTTTTTATGCCTTCAGACTTTTTTATACAAACTGGCTCATAGTGTATATTCTCTATTATAACCCACATTTTAAACTTATGTCATGAGCACCTTTCTATGTCAATGTATGTACTTCTACAATATTTTTAGCATCTTCATTTTACTCTAATCATGGGGCTATTGTGGCACTCTGGTATATTTTGTATACCTGCCTTATAAAAGTTTTTTTTTTTAAATTGCTTTTTATTTTATTTAGTAAATAATGTCTGACTATTGTGAACTATCTCTTTATTCATAGATATGTTTAGAATTTTAAAATACTTGAAACAAACCTTAATTACGTATCTGACAGTAGAACATAGGGAAGATTTTATTTATATTTTGCTAAGTTTTCTTTGTTCAGTCTGTCATCCTGGTCATAATCTGTTAGAGTCTGTGGTTATGTATCAGACCAGTGGAAGTAAATTTTCTGTTTTGGCAACTGCTATAGAAAGCTTGGTGGTTTCCACTTATTTCTCTGGTTAGCTTTATCTCCTTTTTTTCCCCCTTTCCCCTAATGGTAAGTGATTCAGACAGCTCCACTTACACTTCAGAATAGGTTATTCTTGATCTAGAAGCCTTTTCTGGACTTCTAGTCTAAATAATCCTCATCATAAAATAAATCTTTTAAATGTTTTTTCTAAATTTCTGAATTTTGTTTTCCTCTTGCCCCTAGAACCTCGTTTCTTTTTTAAGAGTCAGAACGCAACACATCTGGTTCATAGTGGGACATGCCTTCCTTCTCTTTAATTTAGTCAGTTCCCTCCTGTAGATGTCACTATGATAAAAGTTAGGCACTGGCATGCTTCCATATACTACCCTAGCAATGTTTGTGTTAATTCCTTCCCTGTCATTTCCACTGTCCCAGTGTAGGACTTGCTTTTGTATTCCAGTCACTTCTGTGAGTGTCTTTCTCTGTGTCTTCTGAGCTTTGAATCTTTTGTGCTGTAGAAGCTTCTATGATCTATGATTCACTAGACTCACAGAATAAGTCTTCCGGATTTCATAAGAATTCAAAGCATGAGTTTGTTTGGTTCTAGACCCAGAAAACTCTTCTTGGAGATTATTGCTGAATATGTTTCAGCAGTTTCTTCTGAACCCAGGGGCCTTACTCCATGGTTTTCTGTTAGACTTGGGGAGCTCTTACATGGTATTCCCTGGAAGCTCAAGATAATGTAGGGGATAAATGTTTAAGTGCCTATCATGGGCCAAGAACACATAAGTGCTTTTACAGGTGCTATCTTTTTAAATCCACAAACAAAACAGAAACCAAATAAATAAAACTTTGTAAAATACATAGTGTCTCCATTTTGCAGATACAGACATTTTATTCCAAAGGTTAACTGGCTTGCCCACAGTCACATTTGTGACTGGTGGAGCTAAGATTTAAAGCTAGGTCCTTGACCCTGAGTCCAGTGTTCTTTCCCTTCATCAGATGCTTTGGAAAAGCATCAGTCATCCTGAAAAAGTATTGACTACTGATCCCTGTAACACTCATCTGTAGCTGTCAGCTCCTTCAGTTTTCCATGTTGGCCCCGTTGACTTAACACAACTATAGGACGTAGGTTGTCTGCCCCCTAGATCCCAGAAATCTCACTCAGTAGAAACCTGGTGTTGTGGTCCATTTTGTGCTTCTGTAACAGAATGCCACAGACTGGGTAATTTATAATAAATAGAAATTTATTGGCTCACAGTTCTGGAGGCTTGGAAGTCTAATATCAAGGTATTGTCATCTGGTCAGGGCCTTCTTTCTGTGTCATCACACGGTGGAAGGTGAGAGAGAGCAAGAAGGGTCTGAGCTTACCTTTTTATAAATGGCATTA